ATATTCGGAATCAGCATGAAAAACTGCATCTAATGGTATATAAGCTAGCCGCCTTCGGCAAAGTATTGCTCAGTTTCTAAAAGTCGGACATTTGTGAGCATTTTTGTTAGAAGTTTGATATCGATTTTTTGGAAGACCTCTCAGCGTCGCGCAAATATTTTCAAAGCACAAATTTATAGGTTTCAGGTTACGGCGAGTCTGAAACTTTGCTTTAAAACAATTGCAAACTTTTTCTAAGGGGTTTTTGAAGCCTGGGTCTCTGGAAATCCCCTGAAAAACCTTCCACGACTCACCTTTGCCACACTGCTGGAAATACCGTATGCTAAAACCTATAAAAAAAATTCTTTTGGATTCAAAAAAACTATGTCGGCAAAAAATGCCGCCTGCTCTATGAGGAAATGCCCACTGTGAATCGGCCTGTTTTTCTGATCCAAGTGATCTTGCTAGGTGAAATATTATTGATTTAGCAGATAGTGTAGAGTAAGCCCTTGCATTCTTTGGGATATATTTCTGCTGAAAAAATATGTCGCAGAATCCTGAAAGTTTAATAGAAAAAAAATTCTGCGTAATTTGCATTCGCCGTGAATTAATGGTTCCCGCCGAAAAATTGAAATTCCCAACGAAAAAATATTTTCCCGCAGGAACTGGCGGAATCACGCTTATTTTCTTTCACAGTGCTCTGCTGAAAAAATATTCGGCAGAATTCTGCATGAAAATTTCCACAGAAAAATAAGTTTGTATACGTTTAGAAAAAACACTTCGTCGTGAATCAGCATTTTCCCGCCGAAAACTGAAAATTTCCTGCAGAAAAATTCAAACTCCCGACCAAAAAATATTTTCCCGCAGGAACTGGCGGACTCACGCTCATTTTTTTCACTGGGTATGCTGATTCTCATGGCGACGTTTGTTTTCGGAAAAAAGTTCAAAACCTATTGAAACCTTATGCTAGGTGAAATAACCTATTTCTGCCTGTTTTCACGTAAAATTAGAAAATTCATAACTGAGTTAGAATTGATTCAGCCTTTGTCAGAATATCAAGGCATGCTCTATTTTATCTGCTCAAACAAATTCTGCGGGTGAGAATAGTATAGAATATTCTCTTACTTCGGGAAACTTCTAGAAAACCTTTTGGAAAACCCGAGTATTTTATGTTAGTTTTAAAAAGTTCTATTCGACTCCAAGATGTGTCGCAGATAAAATAGAGCATACCTTGATAGTCTGACAAAGTTTGGATCAGTTTTGACTCAATTATGAATTTCTAATTTTACGTGAAAACAGGCAGAAATAGGTTATTTCACTCGTACAAGGTTTCACTAGGTTTTTGAACCTTTTTCGGAAAACAAACATTGCCACGAGAATCAACATAGTTGAAAACCTATATTGGATATATTACCGAGGGTCCAAACCCCAAAAATGGTCGGCTCCACGGATGCCCAGGTAATACAACTAACCACCTATCAAAAAGTTTAAGGTTTTTTTGAAAAATTTTTGCTCTTCTGGGCGACTGACTGAAAAGATGTACAGTAACACTGAACAGTAGAAAGTTCTCAGACCTGGCTTTGTCGATTTTGATAACCCTGGGTATTTCTTTTGGTAAAATACCAGACTTTACACGATAGTCAGGTGCACCATTAAAGACCTATCTCATTCGGAATAGCTTTAACCATCATTTAAAAAATTTTAAGACATCGGCACACGTCTAACACTCGGTCTGACGATGGCGTTTTTAGCAGATTTTGAAACTCAGTTTTCTCAGAAATGGCAAGGTACTCCAGTAGCCTGCTACACTCGTTCCAAGATGGCCGAAAGCCGCAAACAGAGTCATTTTGAAAGGTATTTCTGTCCAAGAAGTTGTTTTACAAACTGGAATTCAATTAGTAGAATGGATTCAGTATCATTTCTTCTATTTAGAGAAGTAGCTTTGAAATTCGTCTACCGTCAATTAAAGTCTGTTGAAAAGCATTCTTTGACGGCGAGTTTTATATTTTGGCATTTTTCACCAATTTCCACTGGATTTTTCAGTGCGTTAGCCCTGACTTTGAGTGTGCGGTTGTTATTTTTGAAATCTCCATGATCGAAAGTATATGAGTCAACTCTTATCCGAATAGAATATTATCTGTTCCTGAGATATGAATCTCTGAAGATCGGGGTTTTCCAGAAAATCATGGGACTTCATATACTGTCCAAAAATTTTCAGATGTGTCTCACTCGATAGAAAATTCAATTTTCTACAAAGTGGGACCTTAACAACATTTTTGGGATTTTTTAGTTTTTTATTATATAATAGTGTATATGCATATATCTTAATGTCTGTTTTCATTGTTTGCCTCATATTAAAGTGAAATCTCTTAAAACCCAATTAACAGAAAAGTGCTTGTAATTCATTTCTTGGTGATATACAGACGTCTAAAAAAAGTAAAAACCTTTAATTGGCCTTTAACCTGTCCAAACGCGAAGAAGAAGTACGCGTTTGCCTCAGATATGAGCCTCGAGTCCAAATCCAACTTTTAAATATCATTTTCTTTATTTTTGATTGTCAAGAAACAGGATTTTACAAATATTAATAAAATTAGCGAAGAAAGTTTGTCCTCTACTGTTCAATTCTTCCATAATTCATTATTGCACTGTTATAATATTTGCTGTTGTTGTCCTTGCTGTTGTTGTTGTTGTTGATATTCAGCAATCCATTTATCAATACCAGCCTGCATAGCAGCATAATCAAATGTTGGTAGCCCACTCACACCTTCGGGACATGGTGGAAAGAAACAATTGAATTGAAAATTAAAGTTAAATGTGCCATCCATTAATGCACCTAAATTACTGAAATCAACGGGACCACCACGTTTCGTAACACGGTGATGTGAGAAACCGGTTGTAGTAGCAATAATACAACTTAGAACCAGAAGTAATGATGTGAACGTTGTATGCATCTTTTTACTTATTTGCAGAATACGAAGTAAAATGAATAAAAAAGACTTTTTAATAAACACACATTCACCTACGCTGTGACTTTTAGCAGATGCCGATATATGATTAAAAGGGGGTAGCAGTGAGTTAAATCAGATATGTAGAACAGCAAAAAGAAAAGGAGAGAAAAAACTAATAAAAACGCACTAACTAAAGGCTTCGGAGTCAGATCCTTAGAATGATAGTAGTAACAGTTATCTTTGAAAGGACGAAAGCCTTAAAGCTCACCAGGAACATTACCAACTGATCGATGCCTTGACTTAAAAAAAGGTTGGGTTTTTTGAAGAGCTTTATAATACATTTTGTACCACTGACGATTCTTACAGAGCGGGTAGTTCCATTGGATAAATACCACGCTTTACACGATGATCTGGTGCACCATTAGAGACCTATCTCGTTCGAAAGAGCTTTCAATTCTGAGCAAGGATATACTTTTCAAAAAATGTTAAGACGTCGACAGGACGTCCAACACTTAGCCTGACGGTGACGTTTTTAGCAGATTTTGAAACTCAGTTTTCTCAGAAATGGCAAGGTACTCCAGTAACCCGCTACACTCGTTCCAAGGTGGCCGAAAACCGCAAACAGGGGCATTCTGAAAGGTTTTTGCACCTAAGCGAACTCTTTTGGACGTCAAACAATGAACTTAGAATCGAAGCTGTTACAGCCTGCAAAAAAATCTAACTGAAAGTGCTTTTTCTGTCTTTTCATAGTTAACTTTAACCCCTTTTGTTCTTCTTGCTGTAACTCCACCACTTAAAATTCAAAAAATGTTGTTAACGCCTCACTTTGAACAATAACCATCTGTTATTGAGTAACAACAATAACAAGCCTATCTAAAAGTACAACCACCAGCGCATGATAATGAACATCAACAAATGAAAATTAAGCTGTACAACGTTACCGTGGTTGAATATGAAGACATGTATTGGAAACCATTATTTGCTGATGAAACTTTCATCAGCAAAAAATATGTTAAAGAATATCATAAATACACAAAAGATATAATAATGAAACGCTCTATTTAAGAACTTTCAAATGACGGCCATATTCGAGAAGTTATTGTGGATGGAGAAAAAAGGTAAGGCCAACGTATGACCCGTTGTCATAACCACCACCGCAATTGTTAGACGTAAATAATAATACTCTTCCAATCGCAACACCTCCAAGAAAGAAAAAAACGTCGCAAAATGAGAATAATAAAACAATTTCGATTGAAAATATTCTATAGACAGTAACAGAAGACGATCTTTATGATTTTTTCGTCGATACGGGTAATATAAAAGTACTTTGTGTTCTTAACTTCGCATACGAATATATCGAATCCTATGTGTGTTCGAGCTCGAAATCAAACATCTTGAACTTTTAAGCAACTTTTGACTGGATCAAAGTTCGAAACTATTACATCCCTAATTGCACAATTTTATTATAAAAGCGTATTTTTTCTTTCTAGCACAATAATACAGCTTGTGCTGCAGTAATGGAGTTTGTTGAGGGAAAATTTTGTACAATTACGCTTGAATATCATAAAGCAATTGAAAGAGCTGTCTTTTTATACGATAGTAAGAAACTATTTAAATAACTTTGAGTAATACATTATTCTTAAATAGATTTTCAGTCTAATTTTGTTTATTTTGACCGATTTGTTAAGAAATTTAATCCAGCTATATCAGTGAAAATATTTCCAACGGATAAAATGTCTATTAGTGATTTTCTTTAACAGTTTCCAGACGCATCGCTTCATTCATTTTGCTCATCTAAACATGCTTTGACACAAATACGGAAAGATCTTGATTTTACCGCAATCATGTCCCAATATATTTTTCAAGTTAGACATAAAAAGTCATAATAATATTATTTAATTCTTTATTCGTATGGCATGTTTCTTGGACTGTCTGATAAGTGATATGCTTTAGTCACGAAGAGAGAATGCTAATTGTTGGATCACATTATTTTGATTAGAGGGCAATAACATGAAAATCATTTTATATCTAGGACTCATGCTATTAGGTTCGGTTTATTTAATGTTCTAGGTACTCCACTGCTAAGTGTTACAAATCCGTCAACAAGCATTTCCACTGGTATAAGTAACAAAAATTTCCTTTAACTTTTAGTTGTTATGCAGTAACTACAGTCGTTAAATGCTTCTTCAATAATTTCTGATTCAATATCAGAATATTTTGTCCATTCTTCTTTTCCGTTTATCGACCATGGATTTGAAATCGATTGTCAATACCATAGAGGGTGTGAGATTGGATGCTGATCGGTTACTTTTACTATTTGATTTGCCATTAATTCTACCGTTAAAAAGTAATTCTTACTAGAAATGTGTGGTGAGCTGAGTGAACAAGTAGAATCTTGTGTAACTAAAGAAGCGCTCCTTGAGCCTTCCAAGAATATTTCCAACAGTTGCAGCAATGGAATCTTTTCAACCACGTAGAATTGTAGAACAGACCTTCCTCTACACAATGAGATATTGATGAGCTCTGTAAGATCTTTCAGTCCAAAGGTATACCGTTTTACGAGGAAAACGTCAGCAGTTTTAGCTGCTGGTAGAATTCTTAAGTAGGATTTCTAAGTTCAATTGCTCTTCGGGTCAAAAAAGCAAAAGATCATAAGGAAAGTAACACTTTGATCTTTTGTTGTTTAGTGCAGCGCGTGAAATGTTGCAAAGCCAATGCGTTTTGGTCTTTTTTTAACCTGAAAGCTTGAAAACCAATGATAAAATTGGTTTTGAATTCCTCTAACAGATTTTCAACGAAACTTTGCAAAACTAATTTCTTCATAGTAGTTGGAAACAGATATCCAGCCGGTCAGAGAATATAAAAGCGTCGCCATCTACGTTATTTTATTTTGTGTATTGCTTTTGACTTTTTCTTCGAATATTTGCGCATGTGCTATTAACTTACTCACGTTCTGTTTTTATCTTGTTGGATAACAGTCATCGGGTTACTCTCTAACACACAAATCCTTACCTTTATTCTAGAAGAAGAAAGAAATATGATGGATTTTTTCTGATTATTCAACTACGAGAACAGAGCAGGTAAAGACATTCATACATAAAACTCGTGGCTGTTGTATTGGAGGGTGAGTCTGATTGAGTTTCATAATGCGCAGTAACGAACAATATCTGTCGAGTCAGGCTGGTCTTCAGAAGTTAAGAGACAGTCCGTGAGAAAACCGCGTTTTTCTGACATACTTTCCACCTCCTCAATTTCAAAATTCGTTTTTGATCACAGATTCTGAAAGAGCTTATACGATTTCGTCAGAAAACTACTAAAATTTTTTTTTGAAAACCCTTCGGTGCAGAGAGCCCGACGTCTGAACTTTGGGATCCATTAAAAGTGATCATTTTCGTACTTTTCAGTATTATCGCTGTAATTTTGTCATGAAAAGGGCTACAGAGCTGGCTGATATTTTGTTTGATAGATGCTCAAATACAGATTTAGTGCTGAAAGGCGAGGGTCATTCCGATTTAATCTCGCTTTTCTAGGGTCAAAACTTCGAAAAAGTGCATACACCGAAAAACTAGTATTTCCGGTTAAGTAATACCCAAGTTTTGCGTCTGCGTCGAGATTTTTTCACCAAATGTTCTTTGATTGATGACGCGTTGAATGAGATATCACTCGACCCAAATATAGTTTAGGAAAAATTTCTAGTGAATCAACAACATGAGGCGAAAAATGACTTATATTCGAAATAATGCGTTTTTCTCCCTCTATATATTTTACGTCTATAATGCTTTTTCATCGGAATGTTTTGGTAATTTTCACGCCCTTTGTAGCCATTCGTAACTCGACTGCAATTGTGTGAAAAAGCATTATAGACTGCCGTGAGATATCTTATTTTCCTCAAAATTCCATGC